ACAGTCAGTCTATCGCTGGACAAACACGTAGCCATCAACAGTCAGTTGATCATTTGACGACCACAGAGAGACCAACAGCAAATCGATCAGTCCGATGCCCGCATCCTCCACCAAAATGTCCACAATGGCTATATTGGTATTTATGAGTCATACCAAACATTAGGTCCATTAAAATTAAAAATACAACAAGACGTGTTTTGATAATGCATCCAAAACCAAACAAAGGATGTCATGTCAGCTACCGACAGTCGATCACTGGGCCAACATGTAGAGACCTGTGATCAGTTGATAGCTGAGCTAACACATAGCAGCAGTCAGTCTATCGCTGGGTTATCATGTAGAGACTGACAGCCATTCAGGTGTGCAGTCTTGCCCATGGGCAATTTTATGCCCCATTTTCACTTGGCATCAATGTGACGTGTATCTGGACACATTATCTACAAAAGTAGAAATCCTACGTTGATGCTCCATGCAAATAGATGCAGAGCACATCAGAATGAGAGTGTGATCCATTAGTAAGACCAAACCAACTGTGACTGGATCTCTGTGGATATAAAATAGAGTTTGTTTACTTCCGAGGATCAATTCTACAAGGTGTAAAACAGTGAATAGGAATAAGTTTTATTTTCAAACTAATTACAAGATGAAAAAGACAAAGCATAAAGTTTAAGAGACAGAAAAGCACATGCTTACGTGAAAGTCCGCGTTGATTCCACACTGATTTATCCAGTCTGCAGACTCTTAGCATCATCTTACACACATTCTCCCAATTATTCTGCCCATTATTTGCAAATTTCCCATTTGGTATTTTTACCCCTTGAACTTTTGTTTTTAAGTGTCTCAGATGGCTGTTATTTGCCCTTCAGCCACCACAGTCCAGACAGATGGGCAGCAATGGGAATGCATTTATCTGAGACACTCTTTTATTACTGTGCAGGTAAAGGAGAGCAAAAGGCAGTGCAGTGTTTTCTATGTTGAGGTTTTTGCCCTTCGTTTCACCTCACAGGTCACATAAGCCCATCTTTCATTTCTGATGAAAGTTCTTGTGGCCAGTATGGAGACTGTGAAAGACATGCAGGACTTTTGGTTCATTGTCGTCTCGGAAAAAGGCACCAGAACTAAACATAGGGCTG